CAAGTAATTTAAAAGCGTTGACCCTTTCTATTAACTCATTTCCAATACGAAGACGTGGTGGTTCAGGTATAGCGTCCGTGAACGAGATCCACATGTCCTTAGTTTTTTTAGCATTAATTGCCATTTTATTTAACACCGCCCAGTTATTTACTTCATTGATAGATTCTTGTAAATTACTATTAGAATCTACGCTCACTATTTGGTGTTGTGTGCAGTCATCTGCATACTTATTCGTACTGACTTTTAGTTGTTCTGGTAAGGCGTCCTCCAAATCATCAATGTAGGTATTAAAAAGAATGGGAGATATTACAGAGCCTTGCGGGACTCCGACCGGGCATGTTGCAATGGATGATAAGGTACCATTGAGATTTACTTGTTGAACTCTTCCGGAAAGGAAACTTTTAACCCATAACCAGAAGGGTTTATTTATGTTCATAGCTGCTAATTTGTTCAAAAGAATATTGTGATCCACAAGGTCGAAGGCCTTACGAAAGTCAATGAAGGCCGCATGAACCCCCATTTTGCCTGTTTTTGAACAATCAGTGGCATTAAACCAAGTTTGGGTAGTTGATATTAACGCAGAGACTGTGCTTCGATGTTGAGTAAACGCGTGCTGGTTATTCTTAATTTTCAGGTCTTCAATATTTAACTGGAGTTGGATCTTTTCCAGGATCTTGGCAAGATGGGGTAAGACTGATATCTGGCGGAAATCATTGTTAATGTCTCTCGGCGGTTGCACTTTAGGAACAGGGGAAATTAGGGCATGTTTGTAGAGTGATGGATAACAACATTGACTTATACTACAGCACACAATGTCATAAACCACAGGAGCTAGGTCTTCGTGGTATTGTTTGAGCATCCATGCAGGAACCTTATCGATGCCAGTTGCTTTTCTTGGATTAAGATGTTTTAAGACCGCTTTAACTTGGCCAATAGAAGGAAGGGGTGGTTTGTTATTCTTATGTGGGTGGTTCACTTCAGGTATTTCAAAGGCGACATTCGTGTAACGGTCCGACCATGGTTTAGTGAAGGCTTTCTGAAGTTTTTCAGCTAAGTCGGATAAGTCTAGGTTTTCGGGCCTGTGTGGAAATTGGGTGTGGGTTGTGTTTTCGGCATTTACTAAAGAGTAGATACAGTTATACCACTTCGATTGATTCGAGGTACGAAATTCTGAGGCCTTGGACCGATAGTAGGTGGCTTTAGCTTTAGCTATAAGATTTGCCACTTTCTCGCAGAGTTGTTTGTATCTTGGCTGATCACCACGAGAAAAGGCTTTCTGACGAGCTTTGATTTGCATTTTAATATTACCAGTGATCCACGGTTTATCAGAGTGATGTATTATTCCATTACATACGCTAGAATACGAATCGTACATAACAAATCGCAGCGTGTAAGCTTGAAACTAATGACTTTGACACGAAAGAAAATGCTACGGTACGGTACGATGAGTTATAACACCTGTGTCGTTTAGGCATACCTGGGGAATTTCTACAAATTTTGTGAAGATCTTGGTGGTGTAACAGCTGAGGTGATGTGCCCAATTTTACAAGTAGGTGACATAATATATTTTGCAAAATTGTCATACAGTACACTGGGACTTCTTTGGCCCGGTTCGATTTTCGCTACGGGCTACACGCGTAAAAATGCACAAGTTGTGACAAACCTGCAGCAGACTTGTTGCAATGCTGTTCTAACAACTTGTCATCAGGATGTGTTCGCACTGCTTCTTCCCAGCTTGTTGACAAGTTGTCAACGGCTTGTTCACTTGACAACTTACTACAAGGTTGTTAAGCTCAACAGACTTGTTACAGGTTGTTCCAACAACTTGTTATCGTCCTGCAATTCAACAATTTGGCAACAAGTTGTGAGTGACAACCTTGTAGCAACTTGATAGAATAACAGCATTGTTACAACTTGTTGACAAGCTTGCTACATGCCTATTGCGAACACATCTTGTTGACAAGTTGTGAGATTTTTGCGTGTGACCGTGTACGTGATCGCATTCAGTCCAGGGCTGCACACGTAAAAATTTCGCAACTTGTCAACAAGATGTGTTCGCAACAGGCTTGTGGCAAGCTTGCCAACAAGTTGTAACAATGCTGTTATTTTATCAAGTTGCTACAAGGTTGTCACTCGCAACTTGTTGACAAATTGTTGAATTGCAGGACGGTAACAAGTTGTTGGAACAACTTGTAACAAGTCTGTTGAGCTCAACAACCTTGCAGCAAGTTATCAACAAGCTGGGAACAAGCAGTGCGAACACATCCTGATGACAAGTTGTTGGAACAGCATTGCTTACGAGTCCGCTGCAGGTTTGTTACAACTTGTGCGTTTTTACGTATGTACACGCGTAAAAACACACAAGTTGTTACAGGTCTACAAACAAGTTGTTACAAATCTGTTCACAAGCTGTCGACAAGTTGTGTTCGCACTGCTTGTTCCCAGTTGTTGTAACAAGTTTGGAACAAGCTGTTAACAACTTGTAACAAGCTTGATGGCATTATCAGACTTGTTACAAGGTTGTTCTAACAAGTCTGATACAGTCACGATATAACAAGAATGTTACAACGTTGATGACACAAGATTGTAACAATATTGTTATACCATGACTGTATCCAACCTCGTTCCCAGGGTCTCTCCGTCTGTCATCTGGGAGAGACCCTGGCTGCGGCTGGTCACGTGCCTCCCAGATTCTGGGAGGTAAATTTAATTGTAACTGTGAGAGGGGTGGGAAAGGAGAGTGTTTGTAGCGTCTTAAAATTGCAACTTTGGGTGATGAAATTTACTGTTAAATTTGCAACAAGAAATCGTAATTATAAAGAGAACTCTTGAATTATATTTATGTCGTGACGTTCTACTCTATAATCTGGTGTCGAGTTACAATTCAAGCAAGTTGGATCAGATTTCATTATAGACTTGCCAAAGAAAGCACGCTTGCCGCTTGTGCAGCGTGGCAATATTAAACTGTGATTAAACCTACAAGGAAATATATATCTCTAGACCGAACAGTGTGGTTGTTATTTATTTAGTATTAAAGTTTATCCTGATACTCGGACCAAAAGAATTTATTTATTGATGAGATGTGGAATTGCAACGAAATAGCGAGATCTTTTGATTTCCGAAATATCGCCAACTGTATCCAGATTGTTGATCTATATAAAGGCCTTATCAAAAAACTTAAAGCCCGTCAAAAGACTATAAAATTGGCCCTTGGCATTGCTGAATCCAACGATCATGGTATATGTCAAAGTATAGCTGTCTGTTGAAAATCTACGGTATTAAAATCATACACCAAAGATAAGTCAAACGGCAAATTATATGTCACTGTATTATACATGTCTTTCAATGAGCACTGTTTAGTAGTGTTCACCACCTTTATAAATTTTGTAAACAGCTTTCGTTTTGACATGAATAAGCTTTAATTTTTTGCTTTATATGCATTCTTAATATATACAAGTGAGATTTAAATTTTTGCTTTGTGAAATAGAATACCGTTATTTTTTAATGGACAGCTTGCATCGTCTATATCATATCCAGGATTGCTTGTGTGTAAACGCATTATTCACTATATGACATTGACACTATCAAATAAATATAAGTAGCAAATGATTAATGAGTTAGAGATAAACAGGTGATTCACAATGAAAACTTTAAAAATGTTAGTAGAAGTCGAGTTTTCTACTAGAAAACTCGAAAATTTATGTCTATTCGTATGACGCCAAATGACGGTCTGTGCGCATCTGACACTGTAAATTTGTGATATAGATTATAGTATATTAGCACAATATAATGATTAATAGAGACCAAGAAAAAGGCTAAAGTCTTACTATAATTACCGAATACGAATTTATGTAGTAAATCCAGATAAATCAATGACTGAAATTTCCTCTATGCTTATGGACATTTCTCTGTTCGGCTATTATCAAATGTTTACATTTGCTAATATTTGGGCCAGTCCTAATCTCCTAGACAATACTGTTTCTTTTAAAAATCTTATAAACAAGACGCGTAGTAACAAGTGAATCGGTGCAAAGCGTATCAACGTTTACAAGAAAGGACAAATGTAATGGCCTATTTTAAAAACATTACAACAAACGTTTGTTATAACCGCGCTCGAGTGTGAAGAGAGCATGCATTGAATAACAACACGAGAGAGCACTGCGAGTAACGATTCGCTTGGTTTCTTGGCTTGACTGTAAGTAAGAATGTAACAATGTTCTTGTAAATTCAAAGCAAAGAAAATAAACAAAAATTAGCAAGTATTTTGAACGTAATAATTCGCAAAATCTATGTTTTTAACGAATATCCCACTAGAAGCATGTTGATGTAATTTGATACTTTCCCCACACACCCTCAGGCGCTAAATTTTTGATGAAGCACGTGACCAGCCGCAGCCAGGGTCTTTCCCAAAGAAAGATCCTGGGTACGAGGTTGGACTGTATCGGACTTGTTGGAACAACCTTGCAAGAAGTCTGGTAATATCATGTTACAAGTTGTTAACAGTTTGTTCCAAACTTGTTGACAAATTGGGACAAGCAGTGCGAAGACAACTTGTTGACAACTTGCTTGCAGACTTGCTACAAGATGTGAGACTTTTGCGTGTGTACATACGTAAAAATGCACAAGTTTTATCAAACCTGCAACAGACTTGTAGCAATGCTGATCCAACAACTTGTCAACATGATGTGTTCGCACTGCTTTTAGTTGTTCCAACAACTTGTTATCGTCCTGCAATTCAATAATTTGTCAACGAGTTGTGAGTGACAACCTTGTAGCAACTTGATGAAATAACAGCATTGCTACAACTTGTTGGCAAGCTTCTTACAATCCAGTTGCGAACACGTCTTGTTGACAGGTTGTGAGATTTTTACGTGTGTAATTCAGACCGTGCACGTGACCGCATTTGGTCGAGGGCTACACATGTAAAAACGCACAAGTTGTTACAGGTCTGCAAACAAATTGTTACAAATATGTTCACAAGCTGTCAACAACTTGTCTTCGCACTGCTTGTTCCCAGTTGTTGTAACAAGTTTCAAACAAGCTGTTAACAAGTTGTAACAAGGTTGATGGCATTATCACACTTGTTACAAGGTTGTTCTAACAAGTCGAATGCAGTCATGATAACCAAGAATGTTACAAGGTGGACGACACAAGGTTGTAACAATATTGTTATATCATGACTGTATCGGACTTGTTGGAACAACCTTGCAACAAGTCTGATAATATTAACAAGGTTGTTACAAGTTGGTAACAGCTTGTTCCAAACTTGTTGACAACTTGGAACAAGCAGTGCGAACACAACTTGTTGACAAGCTGTTGGCAAACTTGTTACAAGATGTGAGATATTTACGCGTGTACACACGTAAAAATCTCACAACTTGTCAACAAGATGTGTTCGCACCAGGGGCCGGTTGTATAAAAACGTAGTTAGCGCTAACTGCAGTTAAAAAGTAGTTAAAAAGTAGTTAATTTTAATCACGTAGTTAAGCCGGTTGTATAAAAGTGTAGTTAGCCTTAACTGCAGTTAAAAAGTAGTTAAAGTTAACTATACTTTAGGGTACAGTTAACTGTCCAAAACGTAGTTAAAAATGGCGTTTGTATAGGAGTGAACAACATTTTTCAGTTAAACAATAATGAAAAGCAACGTTTACCTGAGATTTTCAATCGCTATCTTCCCTGTGAATGTTTCCTGACAATATAAACTCTTCAAACGCTATCGCTTTGGTGTTTTTACGAAAACAGAACATATTTTTGCACAGGACGATTTCTCGAAGACGAAGTATGGTCCATTACACCAAGAAACACTGATATATAATTGCCAAACAGCTATACCTTGGTTTAACGTAGACATCTCAAGGAAAAACTGCATTCTTTTATGATTTTTGTGGCGGTTTTTCCTTGTTTTCTTGTCTATTTTTCACTGTTTTCTAGTGTTTTGAATAAAATTCCCGCCTATTTGCAAAATACGAGTCCACAATCATGTTGAAAATGTGTGTCAGCGGTCGTTACTCGCTGCTTACTTTATGTAATTTTGTGTTTAAACGCCCCACGCAAGCCCCACGCACAGTTAACTACGTGATTAGTTAACTATCCGACTAACTACGTTTTGTGCAACGCAGTTAAGTCATGTAGTTAAATAATTACAGTTAAGGATTTAACTACAGTGATTAACGCTAACTACAGTTAGCGCTAACTACGTTTTTATACAACCGGCCCCATGCTTGTAGCAAGCTTGTCAACAAGTTGTAACAATGCTGTAATTTTATCAAGTTGCTACAAGGTTGTCATCACAACTTGTTGACAAATTGCTGAATTGAAGGACGATAACAAGTTGTTACTTGTTGGAACAACTTGTAACAAGTCTGTTGAGCTCAACAACCTTGTAGCAAGTTGTCAACAAGCTGGGAACAAGCAGTGCGAACACATCCTGTTGACAAGTTGTTGGAACAGCATTGCTACAAGTCTGCTGCAGGTTTGTTACAACTTGTGCGTTTTTACGCGTGTACACACGCAAAAATCTCACATCTTGTAGCAAGTCTGCCAACAAGCTGTCAACAAGATGTATTCGCACTGCTTGTCCCAAGTTGTCAACAAGTTTCGAACAAGCTGTTGACAACTTTTATTGTATGGCAAGCATCACTTCCGGTGAAATGGCGGGCTGTGATTGGCTGAGAAGCACTTTCAGCGGTCTATTATTTTCCCGTAATGGACCGGCTACGTAAAAACAAACGCATGCATTTTAAAACAAAACAGCAAAACTAAATGAAAATTTAAAAATTATAATTTTAATTTGTTATTAATAAGATATCTGCAAATGGTTTTAAGTGGAAAAGAAGGAATACATTGGTATTTTTTGTTTTCTTCGACCAAATATGTACCACGCTACTAATATGCATTGCAAATCATGCATTTCCTGTTTGTTTCAAGTATAAATGCCAATAAATGCCATATAGTAAACTTTTTATTAACCTCGCTTGCTCGGTATGTTACAATACGTCCTCAGTACAGACCTCGCGTTCGGTTAATAAGAAGTTAATAACAAACTTGATGGAATTATCAGACTTGTTGTAACTTGTTGTTCCAACAAGTCTCCTACACTTTTTATATAACAATATTGCTACAACATTGTGTCATCAACCTTGTGACATTCTTGTTATATCATGATTGTAACAAGTCTGATAATGTCATCAAGCTTGTTACAAGTTGTTAACAGTTTGTTCCAAACTTGTTACAACAACTGGGAACAAGCAGTGCGAACAGAGCTTGTCGACAGCTTGTGAACAGATTTGTAACAATTTGTTTTCAGACCTGTAACAACTTGTGCGTTTTTACATGTGTACACACGTAAAAACGCACAAGTTGTAACAAACCTGCAGCAGACTTGTAGCAATGCTGTTCCAACAACTTGTTAACAGGATGTGTTCGCACTGCTTGTTCCCAGCTTGTTGACAACTTCTTGCTACAAGGTTGTTGAGCTCAACAGCCCACCGTGGTCAGGCAAACGTTTCAGCTTGCCCAGTGTGGATGCACACTCAGAGTAACACCACAAACATCACAATATAAAAACAACATTGCGAGTCAGCCCAGCTCATATGACCAGTCCCTTGGTTCAAGTCATTCCCAAGCGCGCCAATTACATGCGTAAAAATCTTACATCTTGTAGCAAGTCTGCCAACAAGCCGTCAACAAGTTGTGTTCGCACTGCTTGTCACAAGTTGTCAACAAGTTTGGAACAAGCTGTTAACAGTTTGTAACAACCTTGTTGATATTATCGGGCTTGTTACAAGGTTGTTCCAACCTTGTAAAATTCTTGTTCATCATGACTGTATCAGACTTGTTAGAACAACCTTGTGACAAGTCTGATAATGCCATCAAGCTTGTTACAAGTTGTTAACAGCTCGTTCCAAACTTGTTACAACAACTAGGAACAAGCAGTGCGAACACAACTTGTTGACATGCAGCTTGTGAACAGATTTGTAACAACTTGTTTGCAGACTTGTAAAGGCCTGATTCCACGAGCGCTTTTTGTCAGCGAAATGCGAAATATTTCGCCTGTTTCTTTTGAATTGCGACCACTCGAATAAGTTATTTCTACTTGATTGCTCACAATTCAAAAGAAACAGGCGAAATATTTCGCATTTCGCTGACAAAAAGCGCCCGTGGAATCAGGCCTTTACAACTTGTGCGTTTTTATGTGTGTACTCGGGACATTTGCATTTAACCACTTTCGAGCATACTTTCCTCCTGAAACAAATTTGAACCACCCCTACACACGTAAAAATGCACAAGTTGTAACAAACCTGTAGCAGACTTGTAGCAATGCTGTTCCAACAACTTGTCACCAGGATGTGTTCGCACTGCTTGTTCCCAGCTTGTTGACAACTTGCTACAAGGTTGCTGAGCTCAACAGACTTGTTACAAGTTGTTCCAACAACTTGTTATCGTCCTACAATTCAACAATTTGTCAACATGTTGCGAGTGACAACCTTGTAGCAACTTGATAAAATGACAGCATTGCTACAACGTGTTGACAAGTTGTGAGATTTTTACGTGCGCGCACACGTAAAAACGTACAAGTTGTTACAGGTCTGCAAACAAGTTGTTACAAATCTGTTCACAAGCTGTCGACAAGTCGTGTTCGCACTGCTTGTTCCCAGTTATTGTAACAAGTTTGGAACAAGCTGTTAACAACTTGTAACAAGCTTGATGGCTTTATCAGACTTGTTACAAGGTTGTTCTAACAAGTTTGATACAGTCATGATATAACAAGAATGTTTCAAGATTGATGACACAAGGTTGTAATAATGTTGTTGTATCATGACTGTATCGGACTTGTTGGAACAACCCCGCAACAAGTCTGATAATATCAACAGGGTTGTTGCAAATTGTTAACAGCTTGTTCCAAACTTGTTGACAACTTGGGACAAGCAGTACGAACACAACTTGTTGACGGCTTGTTGGCAGACTTACTACAAGATTAGCCTGCGAACAGGCTCTCAAGCTGAATTGTGAGCCTGCATCGATGACTAATGAATTTGAATATCTACGTCTCAAATCGTGACGCGAAATTCTCATTGGTCAGATGCTATAATTTATATTATTCCACTGAGCTCTATATATGTCAACTGCTAAGCACTATGCATAAAAAACACATTAACTGATCAAATTGGTCTTGGCCATCTTATCTCAAAGCACGAAATGTTCTGTTTTGAGAAAACAGTATTTAAAACATTTAAACTTTTGCTTCAATATCTTATATTTCGAAAAACAGTATAAACTGTACGGTCTAAATTTAGTTTGTATGGTCTAAATTTAGTTTGCACGAAAGTTGTAAACAACACCATATAAGGATAGACATTCCATATTTGGAAAAACGAACGTTACGGGGCAGATATTCAAATTCATTAGTCATCGATGCAGGCTCTCAATTCAGCTTGAGAGCCTGTTCGCAGGCTACTACAAGATGTGAGATTTTTACCCGTGTAGCTGCCCACGTGTCCCCACGTGTAAAACTACACACTTGAAAATGCACAAGTTGTTACAGGTTTGCAAACAAGTTGTTACAAATCGGTTCACAAGCTGTCGACAAGTTGTGTTCGCACTGCTTGTTCCCAGTTGTTGTAACAAGTTTGGAACAAGCTGTTAACAAATTGTAACAAGCTTGATGGCATTATAAGACTTGTTACAAGGTTGTTCTAACAAGTCTGATACAGTCATGATATAACAAGAATGTTACAAGGTTGACGACACAAGGTTGTAACAATATTGTTATATCATGACTGTATCGGACTTGTTGGAACAACCTTGCAACAAGTCTGATAATATCAACAAGGTTGTTTCAAGTTGTTAACACTTTGTTCCAAACTTGTTACAAGCAGTGCGAACACAACTTGTTGACGTCTTGTTGGCAGACTTGCTACAAGATGTTACTTGTTACAGGTCTGCAAACAAGTTGTTACAATTCTGTTCACAAGCTGTCGACAAGTTGTGTTCGCACTGCTTGTTCCCAGTTGTTGTAACAAGGTTGTTCTAAAAAATCTGATACAGTCATGATGTAACAAGAATGTTACAAGGTTGACGACACAAGGTTGTAACAATATTGTTATATCATGACTGTGGTCCCACCGTGGTCAGGCAAACTTTTCAGCTTGCCTGGTGTGGATGCACACTCCGAGTAACATCACAAACATCATTTTCACCTGAGTACATAACACCAACAAGCCTTCTGTCACAGAAACATTGTACATCTTTCATTGTTTTGTAGTTTGAAGCGGACAGACGAGCGTTCATGATTACCATCAATTCATTTGGCACAGAACTGAGTAAGGATGATCGGGTGAAGTTATTTCCAACTTGTGGCAAACTAAACCCCGAAGGTCTTGCAGTGTTGGCAAAGGCCGACGAGTATGAGCAAGTGAAAGCTGTCGCTGATTATTATACGGTAGGTAATGCTCATATAACCACCTATCTGCAGGCCTTAAAATATCGGTCGGTCACGGACATTGTCCGACCCATTCGTGAAATTGTCCGACGTAGAGAGGAAACCACCGGATGTTCTGTCCGACATTTCTAAGTCTTTTGTATGTCATTCATTCGATCGCATTTGCGAGGAGAAAAAATTGCCAACAAAATTGCTAGTGTGACCCGAGTGAATGGACCATTTGCATTATAGACTAAATTTTGATCTAGACAAGAATTTCATCACAGCTTGAAAGAGCATCACAAAATTAGTAATATTCCAAAGTTTCGTTGCGAAAATGTTGTAAAATGCGGATAATATAGCCTTGCGAAATTTGCAATTTTCAGTCATTTTGTATTACAAACGGGAAATTGATGCCCCAACACCCGATTGGGCTGTCAATTTCCCGTGCGTAATACAAAATGACTGAAAAACGGCAAACTTCGCATGGCTATATTATCCGCATTTTACAACATTTCGCAACGAAACTTTGGAATATTACTAATTTTGTGATGCTCTTTCAAGCTGTGATGAAATTTTTGTCTAGATCAAAATCTAGTCT